TGTTTGTTTTGAAGAAGAAGAAAATGCAGGTTTGGAAGTGTCTGGGGACATACTCGATCGAGTACCATCTCATACTCGGTCGGGTATTGTCTAAAAAGAGGAACCGAGGCACTACTCGATCGAAGTAGCCATATATTTCTAAAAATGGAGGCATACTCAATCGGGTATATCTCTTTACCCGGTCGAGTATGGACTGAAATAAGAAGAAGAAAAAAAATCTGTCTCCAGTACTCGATCGAGTACATGTTCATACTCGGTCGAGTATAAAGAAAAAGAGCACTTTATCTCATCCCTGCCTCCAGTACTCGATCGAGTATAAGTTGATACTCGGTCGAGTATGCTCAGAAAACACCCATATTCTATCCCCTGCCTCCGGTACCCGATCGGGTATACAGGGATACTCGATCGGGTACCCCTGCGATTAATACCCAAACAACACCCATTTTCACCTCATCTTCTCCAAAACACTCCCAACTTCGAAACCCTCTCCCCCAAAACTCCATTTCTCTACCTTCTCTCTACCAAAACTCCCTCATTTCTCCACCAAATCATCCCATTTCACCACCAAAATACTCCCCTCACTCTCCTCTACACATATCTACCAACAAATCCCATTTTCCCCCAAAATCCCCAAAAATCCGAAACCCTACCCCATTTTCGAATTATTTGGATTATCAAGCTCCAACCATCAACAATGGCACCAAGGAGGAATAGGGGAGAGAGCTCAAGCACCATAGCACCAATCCCGGGCTTTGAGGACATCATTCCCGCCGACGCCGAACACCGAACTAGACTCCTCTCCACCATTGCAAGGCAAGTTAAACCATCTCGTTTTCTTTGCCATGAAGCACTTCGTACTTTGGGAATTTTTAAGAGTACTAGGAAATTTTTTCGTGAGTTGAATATGGAACGCATTTTCTATATGCAATACAACTCGAACGAAAAAATTATTTATGAGTTCTTGAGTTCGGCTAAGTTTGAAACCAATGAGGAGGATTTTAGGGACGACACACTCTCGTTTCGTCTCTTTAATCAACACTATTCAATCAAGAAACATGAATTTGCCGACCACTTCGGCATCCCGGTTCCACATGAGAGAACCATTCCCGATAGCACCGGAGATGGTCATACACTTTGGAGAAGAATGACGGGAGAGTTACAATTTAACTCCTCCCAGCTATACATAAGCCATGTCCAACACCCCATTCTCCAAATCTTTTTAAAATTCATGGCGAATTGTATACTTGGGCGCCCCAACAATCACCACACGAGGATAGGAGATGTGTGCTTGATGACACAGGTTTTATTTCGGCGCACCACAGAATTTAATTTGTGCAATTTAATGTGGGCACATCTCAAAAAGGAAAGTTTGGCTAAGGGCAAGATTGTTGTGGGAGGAGTGATTATGCATTTGGTCACCAAGTTTGGGTATAGGGACAACTCCCCTATACCCGACTATTGTTTGATGGACATTGGTTTTTTAACCCATGCGAATTGCATATCCTTCTCTCGTACGGTGTATGAGTATGACCACTCCTATAACGTGTACAATTGGCATATACACCCGCCCCCCATCCGGCACTTTACCTTACCCAACCCAAACCTCCCCAAGATACTATACAATAGAGATATGCCTCATTATTTGTTGCCCAATGCCATTCCACCACATTTGCAAGAACCTCAAGCCGAAAACCAACCAGAAAATCAACCCGAAGACCAACCTCAAGCCCACCATCATGAAGCCCTTCATGACCACATACCCGAACAACCCCAAGTTCAACCACCTCCCGACTATTTCCAACAACTCCTTGATGGTTTCAACAAGGTAACCGAAGAAGTTGGCCGATATAGGGAAGAACAACGGGCTGGATTTCTAAGGCTAGAAGAGCAAAGGACAGAAGATAACCGGCGTTATGAAGAAGACCAACGTAGGTTCTATGGACCTATGTACTCTTACATGGCTCAACAAGGCCAATTCCATACTATGGCTCAGCCACCCCCACCCCCCTCTTGGTATGACCCCTCTCAATGGGGTAATTTTGGAGGGTCTAGCTCCGGGGGTGGAGGTTTTGATGGAGGGGATGACGGCGGCGACACCCACATGGGCGATGGGAGCTTTGGAGGAGGCTTTGGAAGCGGCTTTGGAGGCGGCTTCTACGGCGGAGAAGGCGGACACTAGGGACAGTGTTTCAACTAAGTGTGGGGGAGGAGATTACTCATGGTATGTAATTTCATTTTCTACCCTTTTACTATGCATGAATATCTTTTACTCTTTGTAAACAAAAAAAAAAGAAAAAAAAATGGATAAAAGAATTGAAATGCTAGTTAGGTTGAAAACCCAAGAATGGGCAATCTAAGCAAAAATGGCTTATAAAAAAATTTTTTGAGTGAGTTTGGAAAGGATGGAAAAACAAAAAGAGATGCTAGGATGAAAACCTGAAAAGGCTCCTAGGCAAAATGAGAGATATGAGAGAAATATTTTTTCTGTGTGCAGGAACTCATTTGATCTCTAAGAGGAAGAAGAAGAAGAAAAAGGAGAAGAGGAAGAGAAGATGAACACTAGAAGACCATAAAACCCAAGATGATATTTAGCATTAAAACTCATATTTTATCCTTGGTGGTCTTTGTGTTTTTATCTTGTTGAATCTATTGGAACTCGGGAGTCTTTACACTTGTAAACATTGAACTTTACTCGAGGACGAGTAAAGAACTAAGTGTGGGGGAGTTGATACGTTTGTGATTTCCGTATGTTTATTTACGTTTTTAGTTAGTTTTGATTGTTTAATATTTCGGAAATTACACACTTTCGGTGTAATAGTTTAGTTTGTTAAATTCTTGTAATTTGTTTAGATTAGGTTTATTCTGAGCTTAAACAGGTCCAAGATCAATCAAATGATCAATGGTGAAGGAAGGTGCAAGAGTACAAGACAAAAAGAAGGAAAAATCCTGATTTTGGTCTATACTCGGTCGAGTATATACATATACTCGATCGGGTATCTGGTTGAAACTTCAAATCGGATCGGATCCGAAAACAAAGGAACATGCAGGAGAAGATTTTCCCACGATCGAATGTCTATACCCGATCGGGTATACCTTAATACTCGATCGGGTATAGCTATAAAAATTACCCGAGTATCGATCGAGTATTGAGCGAATTCGATGTTCTACACATACTCGATCGAGTATGTATACATACTCGATCGAGTACTCGATCCTGCACCTCAAAAAGCCTATAAATACACCTCCTTCCCTTCATTTCAAAAGGACCAATTCCTTTATACTCTTAAGCTCAGTTTAGAATAGCATTTCCTTATATCTCTTTTAGCATGTTTAGTCTCCAAATGAGGAGCTAAACTTCCATTTCTTGGTATTGCTCTTGAAGCTTGTTGATTATTAAAGTTGTGAGTTATTTTCTTAACTTCTTTTCCTTGAATATTAATTCTTCCTTTAAATACTATTTCTATATCAATGTTGGGGAGTGTTACTAAGATGACAATTAGTTAACATCTTGACATTGGTTTTAGTAATAGCAATTCCTTCCTCTATGTTAATATCGGGGAGTGTTACTAATATGACAATTAGTTAACATCTTGATATTTAACTATAGTAGGATTCATTCCCTTTAATATTCTTCCTCGAGTATTAATTAATTCCTAATCATATTTCATATTAATATTTTGAACATTACTTAAAGGATCAACTAGTTTTGTTTCATATATTAATTATTACTAGAAATGATCAACGAACCGATGGTTAATCGTTGATAGTTTCACAAGTAAGTAACTTCGGTTTATTAATGCACGGTCGTGGTTAATAAACTTAAGAGGGATTAATTTTGTTGGTTAAACCAAAACCGTTGTGTTGAGGTTATCAATCTCAATTGATTTCATCAAGGAGTTAAAAGATTAAATGCTACTATCAAGTCGGTATATGGCGTTGTTCTACACTCGACTAATAGTAAGGGTTATTAATGAACGGTCGTTGTTAATAACTATCCTCGATGAATTGGATATACTCCTCGATTGAGTATTCGAGAGGAGATAAGTTATAGATATAACAATGATCGACTAAAATATATCAACAAGTGGAAAGTAGCAATGCCAAGTCACTTTTATCTTTGAATTAAACCACATAACTCGTTCATCTTCGTGTTTAATTTTAATCAAATCACTCGATCAAAACCCCCTTTTATTTACTATTCACACAAAAAGATAAATTATTCCTTTCCCTGTGGATACGAACTCTACTTCACCTATCACTACAAAAAAACACGGAGTTAGTCACGGACTTAGTCACGGACCGTAGTATAAAAAATCCGTGACTAACTCTGCTAGTCACGGACTTTGTCCGTGACTAAATCCGTGACTGTTTGGGCGTGACTAATTCTAGTCACGGTCATTTTATCCGTGACTTAGCGTAGTCACGGCTTAGTCACGGGCCGTTTCCGTGACTAACTTGTCACCGGAATAACCACACCGGCGACTTAGTCACGGCCTTTTCCGTGACTAAATATAGTCACGGACTAATCCGTGACTAAACTTTCAAATTTTAAAAAATGAACCGCCAAATGTTACGGTTTAAATTTTCAAATTTCAAACTTTAGTCACGGACTTGATCCGTGACTACTTTTTTATTTTTAAAAAAAAAATAAATTTGTAAAATAACTTTTTAAAAAATCGGTCTAGAATTTAGTCACGGCTCGGATCCGTGACTAGAGTTTTTTATTTTTAAAAAAAAAGTTTTTTTGTTTTATAAAAAAATATATTTATTTTTAATTATTCTTTAGAAAAGTTTATTTTAAAAAATATTTGTAGAATAAAAGTAATAAACAGACTACTAGAACACACATCTCATAACCAAACAGACTGAAATAAAAGTAATAATAAGCACAATAGAATTATAGTAAATAAATAATGTTCAAATAAAAATGTATATCATTTACAAGCTCCTCCGGTTACCATTATGATAATATCTAGAATCATCATATAGATAATCATCTTCGGTCTCATGTTCTCGGGGTTCTCCAGCTTGGCCTTCTCGATTGCCACCGCGACTGCCTCCTCCGCGACTGCCACCTCCGCGACTGCCACCTGCTTGGCTGCCTCCAGATGTTTGAAACAGGTTGTGAAAATTGATATCCTGAATAGAACCAAATGAAGGCAACCCGGTAGCAGAGTTGGTACGGAAATAACCGCCCATGTGCGGAACTTGAGGTGTCTGCTCAGGGTGCAGTACATACGGCTGAGGCTGAGGCTGATTCCGAATTCCGGCGCTGAGGATCCGTTCCATCTCTTCCAGCCGGGCCCTTGTTTCTTCTTCTTTTTTGCGTTGCTCCTCCAAGGTGCGCTGCTGCTCAGCCAAGGCCCTCTGCTGCTCCTCCATCTCCCGCTGCATTTGAGCGATACGCGGATCCTCTCCGCGCCTTGTTCGGGAAGATGAAGCACCGCTGCGGTCGTACAAGATCCGTTGCCCCTCAGCCCCCATGCACGGGACCCGGCCCTTGTACACCCCAACTGCCTCAAAGATGGCATCATCCTCCACATCAGAATCAATCTCATCCTCCTGAGTCAAGCCTAATTCTGCCCGCCTCTTCTCAACATTTGTGTTATACTTTGACTACATGTACAAAAATTGTTAATTTAATGTTACTCAATTTGATTTTTAATGGAAATAAGTAACAAAATAGTGTTACTTCGATTTCAGCGAGGCGGGGTGGCAGATCGGCATCGGACTCATCGCCGTGCTTTGTCCAGCAGTGCTTGATGACCTTGAGAATTGAGACCTTCTTCTTCTCAGGCCCCGACTACAATTTGGAAAAAAGGCTTAAGATCCATAATTAATTGTTAAAATAAAGGGTTGTAATTGTGTAAGGTTTTTTGAAAAATACTTACAAGATCTTCTTTATGTCTACTCTGAGGTTTGCGGCCCCCATGCCATTGGGTTTCTAAGGCCTTGTCGGACATCCGGTTTTTCTTACCGGATTGACTTCTTGCCAAGAAGTTTGGATCAGAAGACCAGTGACGGACGAGGTTAGCCCACACCTTATTCGGCTTTTATGTTCATGAATTCAGTAACGGCGGATAGCTGAGAGTATCCCTCACAATCAGCATACAGAGGTTGGTCGGCAGCTTTTAGAACATCCTGAAATCTCTCAGCCAAACCTTCATCCACATAAGGTTGATAAAATGTCGGATTTTCATCCGCATCTGGTTGATACGAGGTTGAGGCTTCAGGGGGGTCGTTAGGTGGTTGTGGGGGGTTGAACTGAGACATCGGTACACCGTATGCGTCATACACCATTTGTTGGTCCCACCTCATTTCAGCACGGTCTCCCCACGCACTCATCTCTGGAGGGACGTAACGAGACGAACCTACCGTTTGTGGTATAACAGATGGATCCAAAGGTTCGCCGTGAGAAGTCCAATTATAATAATTGGGAACAAAACCGACCGCGTACAAATCATACCCAACTTCGTGTGGGTCTTTAAATTTGAGATTTTTACACTTTGAACATGGACATCTTATTTTATCACCACTCATATAAGCCGGATGTTCAAGTGCAAATTCAATAAATTCCCCAACTCCCTCGAGAAAATTTGATTGCATTCCGTACAATACCGCATCTTTATCATACATCCAACTTCTATTTTGTTTATACATTATGCCTGAATATTATAATAAAAAAGTATACACGTTCAAAACGAAGGTTATTAATGTAACAATAATACTAACAAATTTTAAGTGAGTTATTTCACTAAATAATCAACTAACTAATTTTCACTAAATTAAATGAAATGCACACAATTCACAACAATAATTCACAAAATATAAGTAATTACCTAATACTTAAATTTAACTAATATTACAAAAAATTTAAGTAATTTATTAACACTACATTTAAATTAAACATACGTTTAACTAAATTTAACTAATTCATTTAGTTAAATTTAACTAAATTTAACTAGTTCATTCCGTCCTCTTTTAATGCATCATTCCGTTTAAACCTACGTTTAGCTAACTAATATAACATAATTAACACATCACTAGCTACGATTAAACCTACGTTTAGCTAACGAATTTTAATTAAATTATTTTTGTAAACCTACATTTAAACCTACACTAAATTATTACGTTAATGACATTTAATGTTATTAGTACTACACAATTAACAATTCCAATTCACTAAATTAAATAATATGACCAAATTAAACCCAATAATTTGAACATGTATATAAGGTCATTTGAATTAATAAATAATACACAATTACAATAACAATTCACAATACACTTAATTAACACATTACTAACGTACGTTTAACTAACTAATTTCACTTAACATAAAGATCACTACGTTTAAAACTACGTTTAGCTAACTAATTTTAATTAAATTATTTTATAAACCTAACAGTTTAACTAATTTTATGACATTACTACGCTTACAGTTGAATATGTTGTTAATTAATTAACAACATCACTAATTTAATAGTTTTAATAATTTAAATTGAACCAACTAATTCTAAATAAAAATAATAATTCAAATAACATACCTTAACTGCATAAATGGGGAAAATGATAGAAGACAGACTACATCCATCGATCTTTCAAACAGATACTGTATATACTGGGAATGAATTGGTGTGGTTCTGTTGAATGAACTGCTCCTGCATATATAACAAAATTTAGTCACGGACTTAGTCACGGATTTGTCCGTCACTAAGCAAAACCGTGTTCATTACGCGTCCGATCCGTGTTAATGACGTGTAAATGACGTGTAAATCAAACTAGTCACGGACAGAGTCACGGACATGACCGTGACTAAATTTATCCGTACATAATACCGTTGCGGATTGATTTATGGGAAATGCAAAATTAATTTTTAAATGTAGTCACGGCTGTAGTCACGGATTTGGCCGTGACTATGTCGCCGGAGTAAAACAAGCCAGGCCGGAAAATAAAACGGGCAATCGGAGGATGTTAGTCACGGACAAAAATCCGTGACTACGTGTAGTCACGGCTGTAATCACGGTAAAATCCGTGACTAATTTTTTTTTTAAATTTTCGTGACTAGTCCGTGACTAGTCCGTGACTAGGCTAGTCACGGACCAAATCCGTGACTACGGTCCGTGACTAAACGATTGTTTTTTTGTAGTGTATACTACGTATAAGTGCTAGTGTTGAAATTATTTTGAGTGCACTCGCGACAAAGTGCACGTCAGTCTTCATACTTGCGCTTTTTGCCTTTCCCCTTATCTTTCGGGTTATATTTATTATCCTCAACCAAGTGAACATGAGCCATTCTAGATTCAACTTCACCCATAATTTGGTCATTCTCTTGCACACGAAGATTCTCCTCAATGCGCAAGTGACTCCCAAGTTGAACCAAGGACAGTTCCTCATCTTGATGTTTTAAAGAACGTTTAAAATCCTTCCAAGAGGGTGGAAGTTTGTCAATTATACTCGACACGGCATAGGACTCATCAACACCTATCTTGTGGAGTTTAAATTGACCAAGAACACGAAGGAGTTCATTGTATTGTTCCATAACCGGCCTTGAGTCAACCATTTTATAATTATTAAAATCACTCACCAAGAACTTCTTACTAGAAGCATCCTCGGCGATGTATTTTGACTCAAGAGAATTCCACAATTCCTTCGCACTCTCAACGTTTTGGTAAATATCAAATAACGCATCGGACATACCGTTAAGGATGTGGCCTCTACATATGTAGTCATCGTTCTCCCACTTGTTGCGCCTCCTAGTTTGTTCCAAGGTTTCATCTTCCATCACCTCCGGCATTGGAGTGCTCAACACGTACACAACCTTCAACGTGGTGAGAAGAAAGTGCATCTTTTTCTGCCATCTACGGAAATCGTTGCCTTGAAACTTGTCCAATTTGTTGAACTTGGATGTCATCTCTTCCACGGTACTCATGATTATCACAAAAAAATATCAATTCGATTGTTGGGATATATCACGTAGGGGGTGATAATTTGAGTACTTGGATATCTTAAGGATCGTGTAAGTTCACTTTCCGAATTGATATTTCTCCCCTATGCCTGGGTTACAAGAAATTCAATCTAGGATAATCCTTAAGGACACTCTAGAACTTAGGCACAAGAACTAGAGCCAAACTAGTGAGTATATGGATTGTTATCTTTAATTTGAGTGCCAAAGTGATGAAGATATGTTGGATATGATTCCTCTCTGTCCTCTGTACGAAATATGGTGGTATATATCCATATTCATCGTCCTAGGCAGTAGTAACACGATTAAGAATAACCGCAGCAGTTTTTGGGAAACTGCTGGAAACTGCCTAACCGTTCTAGAACTCGGTCTAGAACCACAGAGCTGGTCTACTGAAAGTTATACCTCGAGTTCTACCTCGAGTTCCAATAACGTAGACACTTTGGAACTAAACTAGTTCTTATATACAAGTGTGCACTCCACACCTACTAACTTGTATTAGATCATAGTTCTAATTCCCATTGGCACTCATGTCATTTCCAATTACACAAAATGGCCGGTGACACTAAAATCACCAACATATCGATATAACACTCATTCATTATATTTACTCATTTTAGTTAACCTCAACTGATAGTGTATACAATCAGCCATAAAACGTTTGCCATCTACGTTTATAATACTGTATCTTATTAAAGGCTCATTGTTTTTGGTTTTGTCACTACTTCCAGGCCCAGGTTTGAGCGATCCATTTCGTGATAGGGTCAAATTATGCAGGGGATATGCTTTTGAAGTTTTGAAGATATTTATAACTTTAACGACAAATTCAGATTTGAAATATACTCTGTGAACCGAAATGGAATATGACATGTAAATTTTCAAGAAGAGTGTACTCCCTCCGGAATTGATCGTACCCTAGTCTCATATTTAGTATAATATGAGAGATATATATTTACAAAAGTTGTTTTTTTGCGTATGAGTGTCCACAAAAGATCATGAGTTGGAACTAAAACCGGTTGCTTAAATTCTGAGAACGCTCCGTGGTGTTTTCTATCATAGAGATTAATATCAAGGGATGATTAATAGGTGAAACTGATTACCTATAGAGTAAATGGAAACTAATAATCCAACCTTTTAGCGGTCTTCTTTCAATAATCCCACCTTTTGATTATTCATGAATAATCCAACATTTGCACCTCATCTTCATTTATTGGTCTCTGGTCGGTTAATGACATACTATTCCAAGTTATTTTCTTATCTTTGTAAAATATTATCTTTGTGAAAGATGAGATTTATGGTATAATGATTTGCAAAGATAAGAAAATAGTTTGGAATAGCAGGTCATCAACCGGTCAGGGACCAGTGAATGAAGATGAGGTGCAAAGGTTGGATTATTCATGAATAACCAAAAGATTGGATTATTGTAAGAAGACCGCTAAAAGGTTGGATTATTAGTTTCCATTTTCCCTTACCTATACCCGTTTTAGTTTTCTATTTAGATACAATCTTGTTTAAAACGTATTATATCTGATCATAGTGGGTATTTACTCTAAAAGTGGTCTTTTTAGGCTAAAAACGCTAAATCATAAAGATTAGGCTAAATATTCACAAAACGGCTAAAAGATAATAATGGGTTCTTTTGGCCTTATGTCTGGATATCAATTACAATGCATTGAAGGATTCGTTGATAAATTTATACTGATGGAGAAAATCATATGAAGTTTATGGGAGCTAAAGTATTTTCATCCCATTATAAAATTTTCCCGTTGATAGCATAATCTCGATGATTAGATTTATATCATCTCAAGGGTTTAAATTTATCATAATATGTAAGATTT